TTGAAAATCTCCTTTTAAAGGTTAAAGAGCATAGGCTACTTATTTAGATGTGTATGTACCATGTACAGACAAAAGTATATAGTGTACTGTGAATGGTGCATTCAGTTTCTCTGTCCAGACACATTGGGTGATCTATTTCCTCAAGTCTTACTATCTGACATGGAAAACGTGCAACCCACATGCTCCTTAGAGGCAAGCATGGTGAAACTTTGTCTCATATACTATGAGTATGCTGTCAGGGGGGCTAGTCCTTGGAAAAAGACCTCAAGCTGGGAACGATGGAGGGGAGAGTCAGGGAAAGAGGAAGAACCTCAACCACATGGAATGACGGGCTTCAGTGTATCCAAGATCTGAGGAATGTGCAAGAGAGGATAGCATTCACATCTGTTGTAAACTAGGGCACTAAGAGTCCTAGTCACTTAACAACAACACAACATACAAAGTTTTTCAGCTAACCAGTCTGATATCTTTAGAATTTTATATATACTTGCTAGTGTGCTAGTTTTTAAATTTTAAAAATTTGAGTGCAAGTTTACAAACCATGTGGAATTTCACCCATTTTGTTGTTATATTGTCTTCTCACATTTGTATTGGCTATTACCTTTCCAACTTATCTACTTATTAATTTTTCTCTCCTCTCCTTCCTTTCTCATTTCTGTTAAACTTTTTTAAAATTAATTTTAATGAACATTTACAGAGATTCTGGATTTCCATTCATTGTTGCACTTTTCTCCCTGCCCCCCCTTCCCCCCTCCCATTCGCTTTGAAAATTGAAAAGAAAAATTCCTTCATTGGTATACAATTCCCCCATTTTCCCCTCCCCCCCAGCCCAGTACACACTTCACTATGAAATCTTGATTCTGGACTCCTGTGATAACCATAATACAAATCATGTATTGCCTTTAATCTGTTCTTTCCCTCATCTGTTTCAATACAGTATGCATAATTTATCCAGTTTTTCTCAGTCTTACTCCAATCCTGATGTCAGTCCCATTCTACAACAGTGACTATGCAGTATTTGTCCCTTTGTTACTGAGATATTTCACTCAGCATAATGTCCTCCAGGGTCACCCAATTTGAATAATATTGCATGAGTTCCTTGTTTTTCATTGCAGCGCATTATAGTATTTCATTGTGTGAATATACCACAGCTTCTCTATCCATTCGTTTGTTGATGGACACTTAGGTTGCTTCCAACTCCTTGTTACTGTGAACAAAGCCTCAATAAACATGGTTGTGCATGTATCTGCTTGGATGGCAGTTATGGTCTCTCTAGGGTTTATTCCCAGTAATGGAATTGCTGGGTCAAATGGTATCTCTATTTGCAACTTTTTGAGAAAGTGTCACACCACTTTCCACAATGGTTGCACCATTTTACATTCCCACCAACAGTGAATAAGAGTTCCAGTTTCTCCACAACCTTGCCAGCATTTGTTGCTTCCTGTTCTGTTAAATTTTGCTATTCTGACTGGGGTGAGATGATATCTCATAGTTGTTTTTTGTTTGTCTGGGTTTTTTTAAGAGTGCTAATCTTCATGTGTAGAATTGCTATTAGATCTGATACATTTCAGCTATTCTCAGATACTTTTAAAATCAGTTTCTTGGCATGCAGTTTCAGTGTTGTTGTGGTTAATATTCAGCTTTCACAGATTTTTGGGGGGGGTTGTTTGTTTTTTAATTTTCACTTTGTACTGGTTTGCTTATAAAGTTCATACACATTACATTTCACACTACTTCACAGATTTCTTGTACCTCATTCTCTTCCTCTCTCTCTCTGTCAGGGCAAATGCTCCACTTTTTGGTGCCACATCTTCAGGTTTACCTGTCTACCACACAGCTTTAAGAACTTAAAACAAAACATCTATTTTTATCTAGCATTTCTCTGAGTTTGAAGTAGCAGGGAGGTATTGGTGTTGGCTCAGCTCACTATCATCTGAGCAGGAAGTCCTCTGCTTTTGACAACTTTTTGACTATTCACATGTGCTTTAACAACTGCAGACATCTCACACCATACACAAAAATAAACTCAAGGTGGATCAGAGAAGTGGGAGTAAACACCAAAACCATAACATTCATAAGAGACAAATTGGGATCAAGCTTAGAAGTGCTAGTCCAAGGTATAAAGAGACTGCCAAATACAACCAGAAATGTACACTCTGAAGAGGATAAAATTGATGCATGGGACCTTCTAAAGTTTAAATCCACGTGTGCATCAGAAACTTTTTCCAACAGGGTAAAAAGAAAACCTACAGACCAAGAACAAACATTTGGTAATACCGTCTCAGACAAGAGTCTTATAACAAAAGTTTACAGAATATTCCTGGGCCTCCACAAGAAAAAGACTGATAACCCAAATTACAAAATGGGCAAAAGAACACAAGATAAAGGTAAACAATCCGATTGAAAAGTGGACACAGGATATGAACAGACACTTCACCAAAGAAGACATTCAGATGGTCAATAAACACATGAATAAATGTTCAAAATCCTTAGCTCTAAGAGAGATACAGATCAAAACAACTATGAGATATCATCTCACCCCCATAAGAATAGCAAAATTTAACAGAACAGCAAACAACAAATGCTGGCAAGGTTGTGGAGAAATTGGAACACTTATTCACTGTTGGTAGAAGTGTAAAATGGTGCAATCACTATGGAAGGCCATATGGCACTTTCTCAAAAAGTTGCAAATATAAAAGTATCATCTACCTTTATATTTGGAAATAAATTGTGATTAAAAAATTTAAAAGGGGGAAAAAAGTTGCAAATAGAAATACCATTTGACCAAGCAATTCCACTATTGAGAATATACCCCAAAGAAACCATAACTGCCACCCAAGAAGATATATGCACACCCATGTTTATTGTGGCTTTGTTCACAATAGCAAGGAGTTAGATACAACCTAAGTGCCCATCAACAAATGAATGGGTAGAGAAGCTGTGGTATATTCACACAATGAAATACTATAATACGCTGCATTGAAAAACAAGGAACTCATGCAATATTATTCAAAATGGGTGACCCTGGAGGACATTATGTTGAGTGAAACAGCTCAGTCACAAAAGGACAAATATTGCACAGTGCCACTGTTGTAAAATGGGACTGACATGGGGGTTGGGAGGGAGACTGAGAAAGATGGGATAAATAATGTATACTGCATTGAAACAGATGAGGGAGAAAACTGTTTAAAAGGGATATGTGGGTGAGCTCTGGTGGCCTAGTGGCAAGAAGCTGCACTGCAATCCCAGAGGTGAGTGGTTCAAATCCATCAGATGCTCTGCTGGAGAAGGAGGGACAATCTCCTCCTGTACCTCTAAGATCTGATTTGATAGTACACACACACAAAAAAATAATAAAACTTTTTTTTTATTTTTTAAAAAGGGATATGTGATTAGGTATTATTGTCATGACAGGAATCCAGAACAAAGGCGGCATAGTGGAGTGGACCTGGGGGGAGGGATTGTAAAACAATGAAAGAATTTTTCTTTTACTTTTCAAAGAGAAGAGTGAAGTGGGGGGGAGGGGTGG